TAGAACGTTGTGTATCGCCCTTAGAACACAGTGTATCTGTTTTAGAATGTAGTGTATCTATTTTAGAACGTTGTGTATCGCCCTTAGAAGACAGTGTATTTGTTTTAGAACGTAGTGTATGTCACTTAGAACACGGTGTATCCTGTTTTAGAATATAGTGTCTCTCCCTTAGAATGTACAGTTTAAAAACTTGATTCCAGTCCTCTTGCTATTTTAACAAAGTCAGTTGTTCCAGTAGAGTTCCAGATCCCTGTTCAAGCACTTCTGGGGCCTTGACAACCTTCTAGTCATATTGATGAAGTCTTCTGCTTTGGAACCTGCACTAACCCCCTGTTGCAAGTTGTTCCACTACAGCTGGCATTTCCCCACAATGTGAAAAATTGCCTGAATATGTTCCACTCACAAAAGGTAAGTCAAATCCAACCTGAGAATTACCACCTCATCCATCGATTCTCCATCATCAGCCAAATGCTGGGAGGTGTCATTGACAGTGCTTGTCAAGCTGCATTTGCTTATCTACTCAGTAATGCTCAGTTTGTGTTCCGCCAGGTCCACTGGCTCCTGACCTTATTACAGCCTTGGTTCAAAATGGACAAAAGAGCTCAATTCTGGAAGAGAGCTGAGAAGGATGGCCCTTGACGTCAAGACAACGTTTCACGGAGTGTGACATCAAGGAGCCCTGGCATAACTGGGGTCAATGGGAATCGGGAAGAAGCTTTCTGCTGTTTGGAGTCATTATTTACCCTGGTTGGAGTCATACCTACCATAAAGGAAGATAGTTGTGATTGTTGGAGGTCAATCATCTCAGCTCCAAAACATCTCTTCAGGAGTCCTTTAGGCTTGACTCCTAGACCCAAACCTCCTCAGCTGTTTGATCAATGACCTTACTTCCATTGTAAGGTCAGAAATGGGGTTGCTGATTGTGCAGTCATCAATGTTCAGCACTGTTCATAACTCCAGAGGTATTGAGGTAGTCTGTGTTCATATCCAGCAAGGCCTGGATAATATCCATGCTTGGGACAATAATAAGTAGTAAATATTGGGGCAGAAGCGCTTCAGCGGAGGCCGCACGGTGCTGGTGGTGTTGCCTGGCAGGGAGAAGGATTGTTTCCATGAAGACCGGTCAGCTTGGCGAACCAACCAATAACTCCAACTGCTTTTCGTCATTTACATAAATGATTTGGATGTGAATATAGGGGGTATGGTCACTAAGTTTGTAGATGACACCAAAACTGGAGGTGCAGTTGACAGCGAAGAAGGTCACCTCAGAGTACAACAGGACCTTGATCAGGTGGGCCAATGGGCCGAGGAGTGGCAGATGGAGTTTAATTTAGATAAATGCATTTTGGGAAGGCAAATCAGGGCAGGACTTATACACTTAATGGTAAGGTCCTGGGGAGTGTTGCTGAACAAAGGCACCTTGGAGTGCAGGTTCATTGTTCCTTGAAAGTGGAGTCGGAGGTAGATAGGATAGTGAAGAAAAGACGTTTTGTATGCTTGTCTTTATTGGTCAGTGCATTGAGTATGGGAGTCGGAAGGTCATGTTGTGGCTTTACAGGACATTGGTTAGGCCACTTTTGGAATACAGTGTGCAATTCTGGTCTCCCTGCTATAGGAAGGATGTTGTGAAATTTGAAAAGGTTCAGAAAAGATTTACAAGGATGTTACTGGGGTTGGAGGGTTTGAGCTATAGGGAGAGGCTGAATAGACTGGGGCTATTTTCCCTGGAGCATCGGAGGTTGAGGGGGCGAATGTTATAGAGGTTTATAAAATCATGAGGGGCATGGATAGGGTAAATAGACAAGATCCTTTCCCTGGGGTTGGGGAGTCTGAAACCACAGAGTATAGATTTAGGGTGAGAGGGGAAAGATTTAAAAGGGACGCCAAAGCGGCAACTTTTTCACACAGAGGGTGGTGTGTGTAGGAAATGAGCTGTCGGAGGAAGTGGTGGAGGCTGGTACAATAACAACACTTAAAAGGCATCTGATTGGTTATATAAATAGGAAGTGTTTGGAGGGATCTGGACCAAATGCTGACAAATGGGACTAGATTAATTTAGGATATCTGGTTGGCATGGATGAGTTGGACCGAAGGGTCTGTTTCTGTGTTGTGCAGCTCTGACTCTGACTCTATCACTACACAAGTGACAGGCAATTACTGTCTTCAACAAGAGAGAATCTAACCATCTCCCCTTGACATTCAGTGGCATTATAATTGCTGAATCCCCCATTGTTAACATCCTGGAGGTTACCTTTGATTAGAAACCAAACTGGACCAGCCACATAAATGTTGTGGCTACAGCAACAGGTCAGGAGCTGGGAAGTTTAAGGCATGTAACTCATCTCCTGAATCTTTAACGTTCACAAAGTACAAGACAGAGTTCAAGAGCAGATGAGAGCAGCTCTAACAACACTCAAGGAAATTGACACCATCCAGGACAATGCAGCCTGCTTGACTGGCACCACATCTACCATCTTTAACATTCACTTCCTCCACCACCAGCACCAAGTGGCAGCTGTGTGTACCATTTATAAGATGCACTGCAAGAACTCACCTCGACTCCTTTGACAGCACCTTCCAAACCGGTGACCTCTACCACCCAGAAGAACAAGGGCAGCAGATACATGGAAGCACCACCACTTGCAAGTTCCCCTCCACTTACCAGCCTGACTGGGAAATATATCAGTGTTCCTTCACTGTTATTGTGTTAAAATCCTGGAACTCCCTTCCCACTTGTACTGTTGATGTACTTACATCTCAAGAACTGCAATAGTTCAAGAAGGAAGTCCACTACCACCTTCTCCAGGGCAATAGATAATGGCCTGGCCAGCCATGCCTACTTTCCTGAAAGAATTAAAAATGGGTGTGCTCCCTTTAAAAAAAAAGCCAAAAACCTCTCTGTGTAATAAGCAAAGTGACCAACTCTTGGGTTAAATGAAGGGACAAGTTGGTATGGAGGTGGAGATCGGGACAAAAACAGTGCCAACTGTCAGTTTGGAAGCAGCCTTCCCAAGATGCTACTTTGGGAAGACCTGACCTGCAACATCAGAGAAAAAGCCAAAATATGGAATGGTCCCAGAAAATCTGGTACAGTTAGTTGTTCAGCCTGTAGTTTCAGTTCCTGCTTTGTAAATTTTACATTAAAAACATAATTGTTGTCTTGATCTTAACTGGCTCAAAAATCCCCAAACTCTTGCTAGTTCCTAACTTATAGAAGTAAGCCTTTCAACCCCTGATCTGACCTAGAAAATAAGCAGCCCCTTGAATGTTGCTCCCCAGTTCACACACAAAAAATAAACAGCCTGCTGCACAAGATAAGCTTTCCCACAAAAAGAACATGAATGAAAACCATGGAATTAACTTCATATTACTGCATCACTTCTGGTTCCTCTCAGTATAAACTGTCTTCTCAAATGCAGTGAGTTCGAAGTGTGTGAGGGTTAATGTTCACTGCTACACTCATGAGGGAACTTTGCACAACATTTTTTTTTGTGTGTGTTAGTTTCTACAGGCAATCTCCAGGCTTGATTTGTCACTGGGAGCTGGGGTCATGAAGGAGAAAGGAGCAACCATTTAAAAACAGTCTTAGACTTCAAAAGGCTGCAATTGTTTTAGTGAGGTGTTTCTGCATTTCTAAAGGCTATTTTAAAATGGCTGCCAAAACTCCATCCAGCATGACAAGTGTGGAGTAGGAAATGGAATCTGAAAGCAAGTGATGAAGTAACACAACACTTAAGTTCTTCATTTGGTTGGAAGGAAGAGAGTGCTGCCTTGTTTGCTGCTCCAGAGGATACTACAGCAGTTTGACTGGCAAGATATAACTCCAAACTTAATGCATTTGTATACAGCTGGACTGATAACAGATATGGAAGTCAATGGCATTTTAAAGTGGCCAAGATTGACACATCTTACAATTTAATTTACAAGATTCATGGCCTATTTGGATACATTACAAAGTGTTTGCTGGCTGTGTGTTTACTGCCAACATCAATTACACAAGCTTGTAGTTCTTTCATTGCTGACCATATATCTCCACATGGCATGTATTGTAGTGTGACTAATCTAAAATCAGATGATGTGGCACACTTTACACCTAAATTCTTATTTCACATATTAACTTGTAAAACAATCTCTCTGTGATGCAAACTTGCAAAGTGATTATTATGGACTGCAGCTATAGTTCAGGCCTATTGTTAGCCATGTGTTCTTCCACTAACAGTGTGTATGATCAATAGCATATGGTCAATGGGACTCGGATTGATGGTTTTCAGAAAGTAATACAGAGGGGAATGAGAGGAAGAACTTAATTTATACAGTGAGCAGTAATGACCTCAAACCTTAGAGGGTGGCACAGTGGTTAGCACTGCTGCCTCACAGTGCCAGGGACCTGGGTTCAATTCCACCCTTGGGCAAGTGTCTGTGTGGAGTTTACACATTCTGCCCATGTCTGCATAGGTTTTCTCCGGGTGTTCCGGTTCCCTCCGACAGTCCGAAAATGTGCAGGTGAGGTGGATTGCCCATACTAAACTGCCCTGTAGTGTTGGAGATGTGCAGGCCAAGTGGGTTAGCCATGGGAAATGCAGGGTTACAGGGATGGGGTGGCTCTAGTTACAGTGTCCTTCGATGTATCGATGTGGACTCGATGGGCTGAATGTGCTGCTTCTTCATTGCAGGGATTCTACGATTCTAACTCACTGTCTCTGAGGTGGGTATTGGAAGCAGAGACAATGATATCAAAAAGAAATTGGAGGAAATGGTCTTGATGGTGCAAATGGCCTGTATCTGTTCCATTATGACTCGATGTGAAGACGCTTCTGCTGACACCAACAGTGAGGTCAGACCTCAGTAGTAAGAAGGATGTATCTCAGAGGCTGCTCCACATGAGTTTGAGGGAACAGCACTAGGTAAGTTGAAGGATAAGGGTGAGAAGGAACAGGGGGCTGAAGAGGTGAATGCAAGTTCAGAAACACAACAGGGCATTGACACTGGACAGGTAAGGAACAATCCCATTCCTTCTTCAAGAGAAAGGATCCTTCAGCAGATAACAGCTCAAGTGGAAGCCATTTTAATCATCTAGACTGTGAGAAGCCCTCACTCATGCCAAAAATCATCAGACTGCCCTGCTTTCTTCCAATGAGCTCATCACAAATTTTACTCTGTCGCAATGGTGCCAAGTTGCATTGGGGTGAGACTCCATTCAATGGTGGGTGTGGACTATTTAGAACGAGGTGTGGTGTTGCACTGGGGAATGTGATACAAGGGCCAATGGTGTAGAAGCTATGTAGCTGCGTACGCTGGTGCATTACACAAGGTATCTGTATTCAATCTATGCTACTGAGGACTACACGAGGAAGAGTATGATTGTGTACAAGGTATAGCATTGTACACAGTACAGTGGATTTTTGAAGGTGTACAGAGTGTGACATTATTTTTAGTATAAAACCAGAAGCTAGTATCATTTTCGCATTTCAGAAATGGTTTTTCCAAATAAGCCAGAAGACTTTTCCAAGGCATGTGCTGATGCTACAGTGAGAGGAGTTTCATCCCATTGATTAGTGGCTTCCATATTTGCCCCTTTGCTTAGCAGGAGGTGGATGGTCTGCTCATGCCCCTTCTCGGTGGCCAGGTGGAGTGGAGTTTTCTGCAGCCAGCCCTGGGCTTCAATGTCAGCTCCATGGTTTATTAGATATTCTACAACTGTAGTGTCACCTCTCTCTGCTGCTCGGTGAAGCCCTGTCATCTTCAAGCTGTCTCTGATGTCCACACTGATCCCTCTTTATGTCAGCACTTCCATTATTCGGAGATGACCCCTCACTGCTGCAGCTTGAAGAGCAGAAACTCTATTACTGTCTACAGCTCCACGTGCAAGTAAGTCTGTGATTACCTACAGGAAACAAAGAACAAAGCATTATGCTCTAAGTAGTGTCTCTGCTGAACTTTATAGAGAAATGCTATATACAATGGTTAAAGCACAAAATGAGGCTTTACCAGTCCATTTTGGCTCTCTGCAATTAGTCTTACTCATCCCTTCCACAACAGCTCCTCCCCCACCCTATCCTAATCCAAACTTTTTTGCAGTTGCTTAGCCATTCCCTTTTGGAAGTTTCAGTTGTACCTGACTTCACCTGGGGCAGTGGTAGAAATTATGGATGTGGTATTCTCCTGGCCTGGACCCCTGACCCAGCTCCAAAGCAATGCCCAGCCTCAATCTGAGCCTAGCAGGTCCCCCTGAAGCCGAGGGCCTGTACATGCCCCTCCCACCAACTTCCCCCTGCCCTGGTCCCTGTCTCAACCATTCTCTCTGGTTGTTCATTCCAGGTCCCTAACGCTTTATCTCCACATCCATCCAATGAGTGCAAAAAGAACACAATGATGTCAGATTTTATTATCTGATGTAGAAGTAGGACTGGGAATGTAAGGGAATTAGGAGCAGGTGTAAGCTAGTCAGGTTATAGTCTCAATTCCACTTTCCTGTTTGCCTTGTCTAGCAAAAACCTAACTCTTCAAAATGAAATTCAATGACCCTGCCTTTCCTGCTAACTGCAGTTGAGAATTTCGCAAACTAACAACTCTCAAAAAGCATCCAATCTCCTTGTCTCTGTGTTAAAATGCAAACCCCTTATGTTTAGATTGTCTTCTAATTCAGATCTCCTACAAAGAGGAAGCATCCTCTGTCATGTCCCTCAGATTGCCTCACATTCATCTAAACTGCAATGGGTGTAGGCTCAACATGTTCAATCTTTCTTCATACGATAAGCCTTTCATCCCAGGAATGAGTAAAGGGAATCTTCTTTGATCTGCATCTAATACAGCTGTATCTCTGTTAAATAAGGAGAACAAAACTATAGATAACAAGGTGTAG